ATAGTTGACCAAGCTAAAAACAACATGTCGTTGAATCTTATAACGGAGTAATTAACAACATGTCATTGTACATACTTTTTAAAGAGATTAAAATGCAAACCATTCATAAAACATGTTGTTAATAGACTAACATTTGTTAATTGCTCTGTTATCGGATTTAACGACATGTTGGTTTTGGCCTGGTCAATTCTGTTTTATGTTTTAATTTGCAAGTCAATGTATATATACGGTTTAAATGTACTGCGTGAAAGTTCATGGTTTAATTGGCGTAAATGACTGAGTTGATGATTTAATGGCATGTTTCCCTTGTTCAAATAAAACGGAAACTGAAGACAAACTTAAATTTATTTGCAATTGTTGTTTTTCTTTACTGTCCGGACCGAATGAATGAACTTTTCTTGTAAGATGAGTTAATCTAAGAAAACCATAATTAATAACCTTACCTTTACCTTTCATCTTCTTTCGTTTGTCTGGGACAATGATTTGTTTTCACTGAGCAGATCTATAGAAAACAGTTAATTTTTATTTTTTTTGAAAACAATTAAACTTGTCAAAAACAATACACAAGTCTTGAGAAAGACAAATCGAAATCCGTTCATCTCCTCTGTCTCTTGCAATAGTCATCTTCTTGATGTTTTTTTGAGTCTTCAACTGTTGACGATTAGATGTCGTGACTGTGGGTTTCTTGATTGTGGACTGAAAGAGGAGCAAGTGACAATGTCTCAACCCCACGAGTTAAAGTAAACTACGTTTGACTACGTTTGACGAGGATAAAGTCTTTCTCAAAAAAAAACAAAACTTTGCCGCAATGTTTTTAAACCCGACCCGGATAGTGAATCGGACTAGCTTTAGGGTAATCGGGTCATCGGATTAACCGGGTTCGACCACGGGTTAATTAATTAAAATTAATTTATATATTAGATATTTATATGAATATAAAAATATAAAAGATCTTAGCATATTTAAAAAAATATAAGTTCAATAATAAAATGACTAAAAATTTTAAATCTAGAAAAAGTATAAAAAAAACAAAACACACTAATAAAACATCACAAATCAAAAAATAAACAATTAGCAATATATATTTAACATCTAATAACTCATTGATCAAATTTTTCTTTAAAATTTCAATTAAAATATATAACCTATGTTTGTTTAAATCTTTATCTATTTTTCTTGTTTTTTTAGGTGTTTAGCTAGCTAGCTACATAAACAATTAACAATTAAACATATAATCATTACAACTTAACAATTTCAAATTTTAAGAAAATTAGCTGCATTGATGACAATACGAACAACCTTGCGATTTGCAATCAGTCGTAGCAATCAGACGTACAGCAGAAGATATAAGAAATCTAATTTTTAAAATGCAATTAAATTTCAGAATCTAGTTTTAAGAATAAAGAACAACAACAAGACATAAAACTGCTATTGTACTCTCTAAGGATAAGCTCATGGAAACAAATTAGTACTAGTATGACCATGAAGATTATCAAAATAAATTTAAGAACACAATTTTAATTTCTTTTCTTTGGTAGCAATAAGGAAAATTCTGAAATTTTTGTTATGTAGATATATAAGAAAAAATATTACAAGAGATAAAAAGGCTTTGACAAGTTTTTTAATTAAAAGAAAAAAGAAAAAAAAATTGGAAACAACGTTGGAATAATTTCTTGAAAAAGGGATTGGAATGTAATTTTATGAATTTTGGTTGCGTTTCCATTCAATTCTTTTATGTTCGATTTCGATTTTGGTTTTTTTTTTTTGTTTAGTTAAACAGCGGCTCTTTCTTCGAAAGTCTTCGATAGTTTTATATTTGTGACGAACCTACCATGTCATCATCATCATATTCCAAGATCTCCTCTTTTAATAAAGGAATACCAAATTTTTTTTTTTTTTTTATAAATAGACTAATAGAGAGTGAAAAAAAGGAAAGAAAGAGAGAGAGAGAGCTCTGCGATTCATCTCAGAAACCTTCTAATGAAGATTGGTTCATCGCAGAAAGACCAGGAAGCTTGCGAAGATGGGGTAATCAAGGTACGTTTCCTTCCTTTAGTAATTCGAACTCCTTGGGTTCTACATAAGAATATGAGACTTTTGAATATCTTTCCATCGATATTTGATGATTCATCACTTCTCTTCTTACTCTAGCTACTATGAAACATTGTCTCTTCACTTCCTCTTCTTCTTCCTTTCCATCGATATTGATGGATCATCATATATAGTAATCTCTTCTCTTCTTCCTTTTTCGTGGCTTTTCTTCTCTTCCATTGATGATGGACCATCTCCTCCACCACTCGAACTACGAATTGCAAACCCTGATCATGATAGGATCATACTTGACCCCTTTATATAGATTAAACCACCATCGGTCTCTTAGATGTACACTTCCGAGACGATGACCACTCTTAGCGTGAACATTATTGTTTTAAAAATTGAATCTAGCGCCTGCACCAATTCATGAACACTAGATTTAAACAGTGATTTAAAAATTATAAGTTATATAAAAGATTATTTTAATAAAACCAAGAAAAAAACTGATAAGCCATTCATAAGAACTGATATTTAGGCCACTGTGTATGTATGTATAAATACTTCGCTCTTCTATTGAATACAACACATATTACATCTAGTCCTAATATTATAAGTATCCAGACACTTCTAAACTTACTAACAAGTTTTCTCTTTAAGTTATTTGATGACAATATGTGTTAGACAAATAAAAAGATCTTCAGAAAAACGTGATAGAGAAGAAACTCTTCGACTCTTTATACATGCTTCGAAAAACGATAAACCAGTAAAATAAAATTTTGAAAATCCTCTAAATTTGAGTTTTTTGTGGTTGTGTAGTGACGAGTCAAGAATCTCGATTCGTATCCGAGTTTTTAAGTTTTATAGAAGTTGTGGCCTAGTTTTTTCATGCTTCTCCCAAAGCTTGTACGTGATGTGATTGAGTTGTTTTGATTCTCTTTTAGCTGAAAAAGAACTTTATGTCTAGGGATGAAGGATGATGTGAGAATTCCGGTGAATGAAAAAAAAAGATTTCTGTACGTGTGATCTTTTGGATCCAAACACGTTGTTCAGTGACAATAATAACCCTAATGTGCAGCCACTAACCGATGATGAGTTTACTTCTAGTTTGACTCATGTTTAACCTAGTGAAATCTGATTCTGTGTCTGAAAATAAGACATCCATATACACCAAGAGGTCTAATAAGAAACTATATGTGTATTTTAGAATCTCCTCTTCAATCTTCGGCCTAACATTTTGCCCTATCCAAATGGAAAAATTATGCCCTAATTTAAGGGATTTTAGCAGATCTAAAACTTAAAAAAACAATATTTTAACGATTGACTACACTAAGTCACTAACCATCAAAAGTGATATTCACTGTATTTTATGTATTACTGATATTTGTGACCCGATTGCATAATAAAAAGTTTAGGGGTTAGTTTATGAAATATTGAGCTGACAAATTACTATCTTTGTAGGGTTTAGTTTTCCAACCTACCTCCACCACCACTGCCATCATCACCACCACCATCATCCCACCCTCAGCCACCCCCATCACCCACTACACACCACCAGCCACCATCGCTGGCTCACTACCATCAAATCCGGCCACCGATCACCACCACCTCCGACCATTATCACATTTGACCACCACCCACCTTCGGTCACCATCACCAGCTCTAGCTACCACCGGTCTCCGACCACCACCAACCTCCAACCACCACCGTCGGACACCACCGGCCTCTGGCCACCACCACCCATCACCATACCATCACAACACCAAAAAGGTAATTTTCTCTACCTCTTCTATTTTTAAATTTTTTCAAATAGTATGATATATTCTTCATCTGCTTTTTTTGTTTTAATTAGTTGGCAAATTGACCCATAATTTAGTTTACTATTATTATATGGAGTATAATTTATCATTATAAAAACAAATTTAACTAAGACACTCCATTTCTATCACTGAAGCATCACTATCGGTGAGCCATTCAAAACAAGGGTCTTCCTTCTTTTTTAATAAAATTTAAACATAGTTATTTGTCTGATGACACATTAGTAAAAGGTATTTTGAAGATTGCCTTTAAAAGTTTGTGGGCAGACACTCACTTTTTTCTCTTTCTTGGCTTTTCAATTTATTTTGTTTGTTTATTAACTGAGACACTCATCTCCATCGGTGGATGGAGATGGTCTTATCATCAAGGGTTTCTCAATGAGTTTCAAACAATCAAAACATTGTAAGAAAATGAAATTGTAGGAAACAGAAGTGAGAACCTTTAGAGACTCTTGAATCTTGACACACTTGTTTTTTTTTTTGAGTAGTTCAATTTATGCTTTAGAATTAAGGTTTAATTAAAATAACTCAATTATATAAAATTATTAGTATTTTATTGTTTAAAAACTCAAAATGAGTCTCAAAATTATTAAGGTATCATGTATTGGCCTTTAAAGATAATGATGATGTGATTTCCTCTATAGGTAACATTGGCGAGGAACATGACCGTAGGTTGCATTATCTTGCTGCTAATCACTTCCAGCATCATAGATAAGGCCGCCAAAGTTTCACTGAGATCTTGCCGCCGCTCAACAAATTACAAGTCCCCATCACCGCGTTTTGACGATGAGTCTTTTCGCTCATCCAGTGATGGTCAAACGAACTCGAATTTGACGCCGTCGCCTGTTTCATATCCCACGACGGTCTCCCCGGGTAAAGTCCCTCAAGTGTTCTTTAATTTCCGGGGAGATCAACTACGGAAAAACTTTGTTAGCCACCTCCGCGATGCCTTCCAGAGGTCCAAGATTAAATCCTTCATTGACGAAGACGAGAAGAGAGGCGAAGACGTAAACAAACTATTTGTCAGAATCGAAGAGTCGAGCATTGCACTAGCCATCTTGTCTACAAGGTTTTTATACTAAATATTATTTCACGTTCTCAGTGTGATCATGTTAATTATTTAATTAGTAACTAATGCATAAAGAAAAGACATAAAATTCAAGAATCATAATAATTGTATTAATTATAGGTATTCAGAGTCAGCATGGTGCTTGGACGAACTAGTAAAGATGATGGAATTAAAGGGAAAAAACAAGCTCATAGTCATACCAATCTTCTACAAGGTGGAGCCAGAAGATGTTGGAAACCCGACACATGGCACTGAGTTTGGTAAAAACTTCTGGACGCTCGCGGAAACCTCTAGTGGAAAACAGATTAAGGAATGGAAAGAAGCATTGAAGTCCATCAGCACTAAGGCAGGTGTGTGTTCAAGCCAGGAGAGGTACTTCCCCTTGCTTTTTATACGCTCTATAGTAAAAAAATATATTGCATCTGCGGTAAGATGGGTTTGTCTTTAAGCTATAAGCGATAAGTGATAAGATGGGTTTGATGGATTAAAGTATATTATATTTGGCAGCTCTGAATCCGATTTCATCAAAGAAATTACTCTGGAAGTTAGCAAAGTAATTAGACACAAGGATATAAAAAAGAAAAGTGAGTTAACGACAAGCACGCAATCGAGGATTCAGTTCCGGCTAGGAATACACACAAGCAGCACATTGTTCCACATATCTTTCACTAACACACAAATTCATACTTCACAATCTCGTCAAGCCTAACCCATTTTTCCCCATATATGTCGTTAATTTTGTTAAATTAGTTTCTGAGTTTGTTTCTCCGGAATATTGTTTGCTGAAAGTGATGAAGTCAGCATATACATCGTAATTATGTTTAGTGAACATTTTCATTTCGTTGATGTTTATTTGCTTCTGCTTCTTTAATTGTCTTAATAAATTTCATTTGTCAATTGTTTATCTTTTCGTTATTCAATATATAATTCTCATCTATAGCTGTTCATGATTTGTTCGTGCTTTAAGAGAAACCAAATACTATTAGACCGAAGAGTATTTAAGTATTGGATTTTGATGAGTTTTGGACTAGTTTTTGACTTTTGTTTCGATTTTGTTTCGGCCAATATTTTTATTAACCGGTTGGTTTTTTGGAGGACCAAGCTTGTACCCCTTTTAACGTCCCTAATATTGGTGGACCAATGCGAAATTGGATCCCTAATGAATATACAATCCCAAATGAATTCCTTGTTACTACTATCTTAAGCTTTTTTTGTATATTTTACAAACTCTTTCATTATTACTAGTTAATAATATTCAAATGCACAAAAAAAATAACCGACTCGGTAAAGATCAGTGGTTGCATGTGTTTAAATTACATATTTCATACTATTTAAAATCATATTTTCATACTAGTATTAGGTTTTTGTGTTTGGGTATTTGGGTATTTGGATAAGTTCAGTTCAGTTTTATTCGGTTCTAATTCTAGAGTTTGGAGTCTCATTCGGATATTTTTATAAATTTAGGTTCGGTTTTCGATTCAGTTCTTCTATGTTCTATTTTCAATTTGGTAGTTTTGATTCTATAAATTTAATTGATGATAATAAATTGTTGAGTTTGGATGTATTATACCTTTTTATAAGTTTGTAACTTTTTGTGGTCGAAACTTTTGTTATCTTAGCTAATGGGATAATTGTAGATTTTAAAAAATTTCAAGTTATAAATTTTAAATTTTATTGATATATTTCATAAATAACTGGAAATGACATATAAATTTTTTTCAATGTCTAGTCTACTTTAATTTACCTTGCGCGTTAACGATATAACAAATAGATATTTGAATTAACTATATACCAGAAATTGTAGCCGGAGTTTAAAATATATTGAGAAGGTTGGGATGAATCATGGCAAACTAAAAACTACGTTTGCAAACCAAGAAAAAATATTTATTCACATGGTAACATGATAAAAAAAATGTACCTGTATGAATGAAGTGACGCTGCTTTGAATACGTAATTAGTCCACCTGACCTTCAACAATGAAGAGACCTGACCACTTTAGGGCTCCAATGAAGATGTAGCCAGCATCGTGGATGGTTTTCACGACCAACGTCTCTGTTTTTTTATGTGATGTTAAAACAGAGGCAATAGTGTTTGAGTTTGATGAAAAGATGAGGTTTTTGTGAGGCTGCAATTGTAAACTCAGCTTTCAAATTTGACGGCCACGAGGAAGAAGACGACGCAGAATTTTTGTATTGGTCTCTTTTGGGCCGAATAGTATTGGGCCAGTTTCACAAAAGCAGGACAAACTTAACTTCGATAGGTATATAGAAAGTCCAAGCTTTCAATCTTAGGGTTAGTACTTTTTTTTTTTCTTTTTATAAGTCTTGAGAATCTGATAATAGTTACCTTAATGATTTACTATGGTTCAGAAATGTCTTTAGACTAATCAGGTTGTTGTTTTCACCTTCATAGTATTATGTGTGTTAAAACTTGTCCAAGTAGTAAACTGTAAACTGCTACAGTTAATTTGTCTCTGTGTCTTTAATATCTGCTTTCACCTTCATAGTGTTTAAACTGTTTCACTTCTATCACACCACTCAAACTAGGAATCTAAATCCCTAATCGTGAGAGGATTATAACTTGTTACCAAAAAATAATATGGCTTCAATGTAATGGCCAACTAGGTTTTTTCTTAAACAACGTTCTTTAATTTAGTTTCCAAAAACAATCGGTCATGAAAGTGATGTGACATTAATAATTGGGCTCAGATTCTTCGAGACTCAATTAAAACTAGTAATTAGTATTTTATCAAGGTTTTTATCTAGAAGATCAAATAAAATATACTAGTAGAAAGCACTATGACAATGTATTAGCCTCTGATTCTCATATATATCATGTGACCGAGCTTTTGATACGTACATTCCCTTTGTTCTACTTTGCGGAAATAAATATTACAACAAAACTAACTTTTCAGCAGCAAAAGCGTATTATTTAGGAAAATAAGATGAAAATATACACGTCTAAGTTTATTCAAAACCTTATTATTTTGGAAACAAAGATTATTCATAACCGTATTATTTTTGAAAATAAGTAACGCGTACGTATAAGATGACGTCAAACTTATTTTGCATCACTTGTTACAGCCGCGAACCAGTGATCAGGGTTCTGGGAAAATACTCTTTTTTGACGTCTTATGATTGTGAGGTATCAATATCACTCGTCTCTCCTCTTCTCCATTTTTTTCCAGTCTTTTTGTTTTCTTTTACCTCAGCCAATCTATTTAAACATCCTACCTTCACAATATAGAACTGTATCACAAGTTTAATGAAACTCAAAAGCTAATTCGTCCAATATACGATTTTTCTGTCTTTCCGCAACTTTTTTCTTTTTCTTTTGAACTTAGAGAATTTATACAAAGTAAGAATATCCGTCAGAATTTCATTGTGATCTGGCCGCCGCTCCACAAATTACACCTCCCTATATCACCGTGTCTTGACGCTGATAAGTCTTGTCGCTCCTTCACGGATGGCCGAACGAACTAGAATTTTTCGCGGTTGCCCTATGAGAAACGCTGTCTCTCCGTTTAATGTCCATCAAGTGTTCTTGAACTTCCGGGGTGAAGAACTGCGGTACAACTTTGTCAGCCACCTCACCGATGCCTTCGAGAGACAAGGGATCAAGTTCTTCATAGACAAAAACGAGCAGAGAGGCGAAGACCTAAAACATATCTTTGTGAGGATCAAAGAGTCAAGGATAGCGCTGGCCATCTTCTCTCCCAGGTTAGTTTGTAGGATTCTTTTACACGCGCTTTTGGTTTTCAAGATTCGTTATCATGACAACATCTCAGTCTTAATTGTTCTAGCTACGCGGAGTCAAAGTGGTGCATGGATGAGTTGGTGATGATGAATAATCTCGCGGATCATGGAAAGCTCCGAGTCATACCAATCTTCTACAAGGTGGACGCAGATGATGTTAGAAAACCTACACTTGACAGTGAGTTTGGTAGAAACTTCCAGAAGCTCGCAGAAGATTTTAGTAAGCATCAGGTCAAGAAATGGAAGAAAGCCTTGAAGCGCATATGCGATAAGATGGGTTTGCCTCTAGAAGAAAAGAGGTACTTTCTTCTTGCTTTGTATAAGCACTATAGTAAAATTATATGAAGGCTGTTTAGTGGATTAAAGTATACTATATTTTGGCAGCTCTGAATCCGATTTTGTCGACGAGATTGTTAAGGGGGTTAAGAAACTTGAAGATGCAATTGGACTCGAGGAAGAAGAGAAACCATTTTCGAGGGAAAAAATAAAAAGAAAAGCGAGGAATCTTAACAAGCGATTAAGAAGGTATATATAAGAAGGAAGGCACGTGAATCTGAAGTAGGAGCGTGAAAAGCCTGATTAATTACAGGTGTAAATTTATATACTTCAAACTGATTCAAAATCATATTATTGAAAGGTTATATATATTTGGTATTTTAGATTTTAATGCGGAAGGTTGCTACTCAAGCTTCAGTCTTCTATATCTGGAAAGTGAGGAACATAGTTACATAGTCCTACCTAACTAGTAGTTGTACATCACACACATGTACATCAAAACCTCTAAAAACAAAATTAAAAAAAAAAAAAAAAAATAGGAAAGTCGCAGTTCATCCCTTAATTTACTTTGGCAAGGTCCAAAAGAAATGGTGAAACTTGATGCTTTTCTAGATTTACCCAAATCTTTCATGTATCAAAATTCATTTTCTAATGGTATTAACATATTTAGACAAAACAATAAACAAACAAAACAAATAGCATGTTGACGTGGCTCTGTGTTTCTAATAATTTTTTTTTTCATTTTAATTATGAGAAGTATAAAAAGCTGACGTAGCGTGGTGAGAGAATGGTTGATGTGGAATTGTTTGGAAAAGTCTCAAAAAGCGTGCTTTTAATTCGTGCATACATGTCGTATAACCCCAATAAATACTAGCGGACGGTAGGGTTTCGTCAACGAATTGCATGGAACCCCTCAATAAATATTGAGAGAGAGTGAGACGACTTTTGATTGAACGAATTGCATGGAACCCCCCAATAAGATGGTCAAATGATTGAGAGAGGGAAGACTCTCATAATGTTCACTACGTACTGATCATCGTATAAATTTCACATCTATTCTTCTCCTTTCCCGTTATCTCCAGCTCTCTCTCTCTTTTTTCCCGAGGTTTTTTACACTGTTTTTCTTAACTTTTTTCGGGTGAATGAACATTTAGTAATGCCAGCAAAGAAGAGCATTTTGATTACTGAGGAGTCAATACTGAAGAGAAACCACAAGAAACCACGGCACACCTGTTTCATCAACACCATCATAGGCTGCATTCTCATCAAACTAGTCTTTTTAGTTATAGCGGCCAAATATTCATTAATATATGGCCGCCTCTCAGCAAATAACACTTCCCCATTGCCCCGTTTTGACAATGAGTCGTGTCACTCATTCAATGATGGTCAAACAAACTCAAATTTAACGAGTCTTGTCTCTCCCAGTAAGGTCCATAAAGTGTTCTTGAATTTCCGGGGAGAGCAACTGAGGTATAACTTTGTCAGCCACCTCACTGATGCCTTCGAGAGGCACAGGATTAAATTCTTCATTGACAAATACGAGCAGAGGGGCAAAGACGTAAAACATCTACTTGTAAGAATCGAAGAGTCCAGCATTGCACTGGCCATCTTTTCTACTAGGTTTGCATGCTGTTCTTTCACGTCCCCAATGTCTACTTAAGATGTATTAATTAGTATGTAGAGCATTAAAAATTATGATCATAATCATTTTATTAATTTTAGGTATCCAGAGTCAAGCTGGTGCATGGATGAGTTAGTGAAGATGAAGAAACTTGTGGATCAAGGAAAGCTCCGAGTCATACCAATCTTCTACAAGGTGGAGCCAAAAGATGTTAGAAACCCGAATCGTGGCAGTGAGTTTGGTAGAAACTTCTGGAGGCTCGCGGAATTAGTTTCTACCACTTCTAGAAGAGAACAAATCAAGCATTGGTTGGAAGCCTTGGAGTGTATTTGCGATAAGCTTGGTTTGTCTCTAGGAGAAAAGAGGTACTTTCACTTTCTTCTTGCTTTTTATACGCTCTAGTAAAATTATATGAAGGATGTTTGGTGAATTATATGAAATATACCATATATGACAGCTCTGAATCCGATTTCGTCTACGATATTGTTAAGAGAGTTAAAGATGCAATTGGACTCGAGGAAGAAGAGAAATCATTTTTGGGGGAGAATATAAAAAAGAAAAGTGAAGTATCTCTTCGACTCTGCAAGAAGATTTCAGGAGACTGGACTGGTAATCAAAGATTCCGTTCTAGCTAGGAAAACACACAAAGCATCAGATGAATCCCAAAGATTCCCAAATGAATTCGTTGTTGCTCCTATGCTAAGCTTTTTGTATATTTTACAAACCCTTTCATATTATTCGTTAATTAATAATATTCAAATTCATGTAAAAATAAAACAAAAATTACCGACTTGGTAAAGAACAGTTGCACATGCATGCATGGGTTAAAATAATAGGTTCATACTTCATAGTATATATTGATTACGTTTTGGTGTTTGGGTTCCAGTTCAGTTTAATTATTCGTTCCAGTTCTATAGTTTGGAATCTCTTTCAGCTATTCCAATGTTCGGTTTCAGTTTGGTACTTTTGATTCCTTTAATTTGCCCAGAACTAGAATTTATACGTGTATGTATATATGTATTATAAATTGATGATAATAATTTGTTGTGTTTAGCTGTATTATACCTATTTATAGTTTTGTACTTTTGTAACCTTTTATGGTCGATTTTTTTTTTTGTTATATTTATATATACAGTTAAAGGGAGAATTTAATACTATGAAAATAGGATATATATTTTTAAATTTCTTCCCATTCCATTTCCAACGCATTTTTCATCCCCTAAACCCATCCGGCCTTGGCAAACATTGGTCCGTCGCCTATGTGTAGTCTGTAGATCATGAAAAGGCGTCTCCATCTCTTGACCTCACATGATGAGATGTTTTTCCTTTTTTCGTCATGTAATCAGACTATTATATATCATAAATTATGATTTTTAGAGCTTTTAATCATGGTACTAATCTTGTTTTAAAAGTTTTTTTTGTACGTTTTGAGTTTTTTTTTTTTTTTTGGGTTTATTTTAAGTACAATTACAATTTGAGATGGATTGGAGCGTTTTAGAGCAACACCTACACCTACCAGATTTCTGCACAAGTTTTCAATAATTGCAGTTTTGTCTCAAAGTTTCAGTTATTTTCAATTAAGCCCCATACCATGTTTTTAGACAATAAATAGGTTTTTAAGATCATTGTTTAGACCTTAATTTTTTTTTTTTTTGTCTTCAACCTTAGTTTTATTTTGGAGAGAGAGATTGGAGAAGAATAAGAAACTCTTTATTTCTTTCTATTGATTTTTTAATTAATATCTATTTTATTTATGATGTTTACTTTATTTACTATGCATGAGAATATCTCTTGTTAGTTGAGAGGTTTTCAAAGATAAAAAAAAAATGATTACAGAGATAGAAGATGAATATTAATAACTACGACTATAAATTATAATTTTACTATATTATTTGTATTTTATAAATTTTTAACCAGCATATTAATAATTTCAACTACTGGTTTTAACAATTGAATATAAAAATAAATATTTATATTAAAATGTAACCAGTTTAAAATTAAATTTATAACTTTTCTATATCTTTTAAAACAACTATTTAAAGGAACGAAATATAACATGTTTGACTCTGGTCCATTCTTTGACATATCCAACATGTTTGACTTGTAAGTAAAAAGCGTAAATTTATTTGACATCATAAGTTATTTGATATCACAAGTTATTTAACATCTGATGACAAAAAAAAAAAAAAAAAAAAAAAAAGTTATTTAACATCAAAATTCGTAAGTTAAAAGTTAAACGGACGTTGACTTAAAGTTGCTATGTTAAGTCGTCTTGTTTCTTCTACTGACTTTTCCGCTTGACTTGTATGTGAGTGAGAGAATAGAAGCCAAAGGAGGAACACTCGCAGAAACAAAACAGACTTTTTTGTTTGACAAAAGTTTGATAACTCTTTTACTACTGAAAGTGAGATTTAGCATACACGACCGCGTTTTTATTATATGGATTTAAACTCCAATATTGAATGAATAGTTTGTCTTTTGCTCCCAAATCAATGAAAATAACAATTGCTATGACTAAATCTCAACTCCGGAGAGTTTTAAAGAGAGCACTCGGCAAATATATACTTGGTTTTTGGAATTATCTAGCTATAAGTCCTTATCGGCAAAATAAATAAATAAACCAAAACGAGTTATATTCCCGTTAACTCGTCGAACTCTTTGAACTAATAATAAATGTATAAAGCCACTTCACAACACAACTTCGTATTTTTATTTGAACAAATCGGAAAGACAGACTCATCGGAAAACTTAACCGCCGGTTCTGATCAGGTCTCTCTCTAGCTCCTTCCTTTTCTCATTATAGTTATAGGTTGATTTTATGAACACTCTTGTGTTGTGTATCTTAGAATCTCTCTCTTAAATGTGTTGGATCTTTAAAGATAACTAATGATGATGCCATTTCCTAATCAGGTGAAAGAAGATTTGGTAATGTCAGAGAAGAAAGTAAGTTTTGTTAAAGAAGAATCAGTACTGGAGAGAAACCACAAGAAACCACGGCGCCGTATCTGTTTCATCAACACGATCGTTGGCTTCATGCTCATGATCAAATTGCTCTATTTAGATATGGCCGTTAGATTTTTATTATTATTTGGCCGCGGCTCCTCATTGTCACGTTTTGATGCTCATCATCATTCTCCTCCTTCATTCACTGACGGTAACAAACAAACTTGCATACGTTGATATATACAGCTTTTGTGCCTTCTCGTTAATCCTCTTTAAGATAACAATGATGTGATTTCATTTTCAGGTGAAATAAGAAGTGAAGAGAAATACACAATCATCATAGGGTGCATTCTCATGCTGGCACTCATTTTCTACATCATGAGATCAGTCTCTATCGATATTACCGTCAGAGTTTCATTCAGATGTGGCCGTCGCTCAGTCAATGAAGGCCAAACAAACTCGAATTTAATCGCCCCCGTCTCTCCGTGTAATGTCCATCAAGTGTTCTTGAATTTCCGGGGAGAGCAACTGCGAGACAACTTTGTCAGCCACCTCACCTATGCCTTGACGAGGGACGGGATCAATTTCTTCATAGACGAAAAGGAGCAGAGAGGCCAAGACCTGGAAAATCTCTTTGTTAGAATTGAAGAGTCGAGCATTGCACTGGCCATCTTCTCTTCTAGGTTTGCATGCTGTTCTTTAACGTTCTCAATATCCTTACTTTATATGTATTATGTGTATTCCCAGCATATATAAAAAAAAAAACACATAGGATTCAAGAATAATAATCATTGTCTTAATTTTAGGTATCCAGAGTCAAAATGGTGCATGGACGAGTTGGTGGTGATGCAGAAATTTGCAAAACAAGGAAACCTCCGGGTCATACCAATCTTCTACAAAGTGGAGCCAGAAGATGTTAGACACCCTACACTTGACAGTGAGTTTGGTAAAAACTTCTTGAGCCTCGCAGAAGCTTCTACTCAGGACCAAGTCAAGGAATGGAAAGAAGCCTTGAAGTTTATCTGCGGGAAGATGGGTTCGTCTCTACGAGAGAAGAGGTACTTTCTTTCTTCTTGATTTTTATACGCTCTAGTAAAACTATATATTAAGGAATAAGGATGTTTGATGGATTAAAGTATACTATCTTTTGGCAGCTCTGAATCCGATTTCGTCAATGAGATTGCTAAGAATGTTAAAGAACTCGAGGAATCTCAGTTACAAACTCGGAAAAATCAGTGGCGTAGTTGGGCCGTTAACTCAGATGCTTCAAACTAATATAGACTTATTTTTTCATACTTACAAATTTATTTTTAGATAGCATTTATTGGGTATGAATGGTTGCAGCGGTTAAGGAAGACAAATCTATATACGGATGAGACCACTCATCAAGTATAGTTTATAATAGTGCGGTTCAAAAAAACCGGTACGGACCAACTACGGACCGTTCTTACATACAAATAGACTTGGTCCGCAGCTATTTGTCGTCCATCTTAAAAGTAGAACGGACTAAACCGTTGGCGGATTTATCCATCTCGACCGCTGTTACCATACGAACCCATTATGTTTGGACGTTTGGGTAGTTAGGTTAGTCCCAACTGTCAAAATTTCAGATCAGTATTTTAAAATTTTTGTCAATATTGCCAAGAGGTAGAATAGATAGATATGTATATATTTGCGTGTTGCTAGGACAGATATGTGAGTGTACTTGGAAATTCACGAGTTTGCCAAGGCACAAATGTTATGTCGGTCTCGGGTACTTGCAAATTTTTTTGACGATAATGTTGGGCCAAAATTTGCCAAGGTTATAACCACAATGCATGATGAGTTACCGAAGCATGGAAGAGTAAGCGTCCTTGAGAACTAAGTAAGAGTTCAACAAGGCACGGTAATGTTAAGGACTTGTGTATATCTAGGCATAAGTATGGTAAATGTCGAGCTGATTGATCCAATCTATCCGGGAGTTTAGTAAGGAAAGACTGCTTGGAAAATTTTAGATAATCATGCTTGACGGGATCACGTTGGTGGGAAGAAGTGGAGTTTGCCAACACATGTATGTCATCGTGACTTTGGGAATCAGTAAATTTGTCTATTGTATCGTCTGCAGAGACTTAAAAAGTTACTAAGGCGTGTCTATTGTAAATTATGTGAGGACCGGAAGCGTCTGCCAAGGTATGGTTGTTATGCCGAATAGTTTATAAAGATCATAATTGATCAAAAGTTTAATAAATAATATTGGGTTTGATCCAAATTACAAGTGTTAGTAAAGATCAAAGAAGGATCTGAAAATGAATACTTGAGACAACTTCTTTGTCTATTTCGTTCCAAGAAGCATAATGCGAACCCCGCCTAAAAACAAGAGAGGAGAACAAAGAAAAAAAAGCCTTTAAAGAGATTATCTTGGTCTTACCATTTGCTGAGAAGACCCAATATTTAGGTTGTGAAAGCCGACCAATGTCTCTGTTTTCGCTGTGAAGTTTAAACAGAGGCAATGGTGTTATTAGTTTGATGACACAAGAGGACAAATGCTTGTTGCGGTTGTGTTCCTGTGAAGTGTATGGCAACCTTTATAATTTTCTATTAACCTTTTTACAGTCTCGAGTTTAATCTTTCAACTCAATTATGAAAAAATAAATTATGAATTAATATATATATATATATATATATATATATATATATATATATATATAGATAACCCATTGAATAGGTTCACATAAATATCGTTTAAAGATCACTCTTTTTAATTATTTTCGTGCAAATTTAACTGTAAATAAGTTTAGAGATCTACATTATATATATATCTACTGAATAACTATAGATCGTAGTGAATTCGAACGTTCATTGCTATGTGCTGTTAAAGTAGCATGTGAAAAGGATGAAGATGGAAGTTCTTGTGATGTAGTACTAGAGACATTTGTTATCTCTTGTGATTCATTTGTTATCCCTTGTGCTTCATTGTCCACAAAGACAAAGTCTACTCGACCTCTCGAGTCAGTGAATCTTATTCCCTTTAGTTTACGAGATTCCAAGCTCGGCTTTCCTTGTTATCCAAAACGACAATTATTCATTAAATTTTTTTTAATTTGCTTAAAGTTAGAACAGAATTAAATCGAATAAAATTTTAAAATCTGGATGATAAATTAAGGGGGGTGTATTCAAAATGATATTTTAAGAGATTTGAGTTTTATTGAGTTTTTAAATGATTTTGAGGATTTTAGGGAACTTCATATGACTTTTGTAAATTCCTTTCAAATCTCACCAAAAACCATGGGATTTGGATTTCTATATTTTTAACTAAGGAAATTCTCTCGAATCCTCTTAAATCCTTCAAAATCATTAAAAGCTAAATTCATATATTGTTTTCAATAACAGTGGATTTTAAGGTGGATTTTGAAATCATTAGTTCAATAACAGTGGATTTGATGAGACTTTTTAAAATCCATGTTTGAATAACATTGGATTTATAACTTTTACACAAATCTCTTAAAATTCTAGTTTCAATACACCCCCCTAAGTTTTCCGTTCACTAAATCATTACACTATTACGGTTATTTGGTGATTTTTAAAAATTGCCACTTAATAAAACATTGAAACAACGTACTATTTGATGAATAAATTAAACACTAATGTACGTAGGTTTGTATTTATTAGTACAACTAGTCTTTCTCTATATATAAACGCACCTGAAAAGATTTCCTTCTACTTTGAATCAATTTATGTAACCTGACAAATTTTTGTAATTTACCAAAACTTGCCTAAGTTTTAATTCGTACGACGTACCATGTGATGTTAAAGTAGTAGCAGCAATAGGAATGTTTTGTTCCTCTGCTGATTTTCGAAAGCGGTACTTTCCAGAAACTTTTGAAACTGAAAAAAGTTCAAAGATAAAAAGAATACACAACGGATTATATATGATACAGAATGAAATAAAATAGACACAGATCGATCATAAGCTTCATACCCATGTATGTTAACCATTCATGTAATATTCTTGGAACCATTTTACAATTTTTAAGTTTTTACATGAAAAGGTACGTAAAAGAAGACGTATAGTATAAGAAAATATTCGAATATAAGTTATTAGGATAATTAATATTTAGCATGCATGCCATTTAATTAGACGTATAGTATACGAATAATGTATCGATCACTCCACAGCACGAAATAACAAACATGCCTATAAGCTATAAGTATTAAATTAAATTAAACTACTTTACACGTAACTATAAACTCATATGCGTCATCAAGTAACAAACCTGTTAATATATAAGCTGTTTAAACTTGTTCATTTTACAACTAATATAACCATCTGATTTTTTTTTGTCACTAAAATGAGATTTAACAAAAAAAACTAAAACTAATTCTTTGACATTTAAACTTAATCCTAAATCTTAAATACTAAACCCTACCCATAAAAACTATATATACCCTAAATTTTAAATAATCAACGTAAACCCAAAGAAAAAATTCTATATCTTTTAAAATAATTTGTTTTTTGTGGTATTTTTGATAAAATAAAAAATTTGTGGTAATTTTGAGAAAAAAAGAAACTAATAGAGGTCAGTTTGGTAATAAATAAATAAAGTGGGATATTGTGAGGAATTTCCCAAAAAAAAAGTGATAACTTTATTACCTTTTAAAAATTATTAATCGTGAAATCTATAAATAATAGAAAGCCTAGAAACCAATAGTGTCGTTATCATTCTGTGAGATATTTTTGTTCTCAGCTATCAAAAATATCGTTATGAGATTTTTATTTGATTATTTTTAACTCTAAAAAATATTTACAAAAAATAATTGAAATGACGTCATATTATAAAAAAATACCGAACAAGAACAACACACACAAAAAGCAGAACATTATCCAAAATTATGGACAGAGCAGAGGCAGAGCAAGAAGAAGAGTTTAGTGATTGGGTTGTTCTACAAACCTCGCCAAGATCTCCACCAGTTGACGCATCTACCCCTCCGAACTCATCTATATTACAACTAAGCCATCTACGTGATAATCCAACGGACGACGACGACGAGGATGATGATGAAGATTCTGTTGTCTCCGACGTCGGAGAAGAAGAAGAAAGTGAATCCTCCTCCGCCGTGAACCTTTCGCTTCCGTGGCGCGTGATCGAGACTGCCAAGAACCGATTGATCAAGGTCGTGGAGAGGGTTCGTTGTAATTACGTGACTCGTAGAAGGGTATGTTGGTCATTAACGCTCATTGGAGGCTTCTCGTTGGTCTTGAGCCTTGTTTATGTGAAGCTAGTGAGATGGTGGAGACGACTAAATGAAGAGAAGCTGAGAGTTCTGCTTCTTCTCCTTAGAGAGAAAGATCAGGTTTGTGTTAATCAATCTATGGATTTTAGTGTATATTCAAAAAATTTGAAATTCAATGTTGGAATGGAAACTTTGTGATTATGTAGAAAATAAAGGAGCTTATGGTTGAAATTGGGAGATTGAACGAGATGTTATCGTCACGACGCAGAGTTCGAGTGGTTCGAATCATGTGACGCGAGACGAATATATATGTATGGTTTAGAATAGCTTTCATTATTTGTTGTGTGATTGTTATACTTATACTTATACTTATACATACATAGTTTATTACTTTATTCACGTGTATGCAAGAAGATATACAAAAATCAGAGAAAAATAGAGTGGGATATAGTTTACTTTTGATGTATTTTTTAAAGTTGTTATATATAGTTGTTATATATATAGTTTGTGCTAAATCTTTGTTAAACGAACTAAACTGCTCTGAAGATTTTTTGAGTGTCAACATGCATAAGATATACGCAGTTGGAACAATCAGGTCACAAGCTCGAATTCTGAGTCGATGGAGAAATACATGAAGGTGGAAAGTAAGGGGAATAAAAGCGAGAAATTTGAAGAAGCTGTGGCTACTCTTCTCAAGGACTTATTGATTTTGCGGATACAAAATAAGTGATGCCGCAAGAAGCTCTTGGGGGGAGACAGTTTGTGGTAACAACACCTGGGTAACTAACATGGCTTCACGTCAACAACAATGCTCCACCCATGCGACCCGAGGTGTTCCCTGATGAAGAACCTTCGGAACTTACACAACTTGGAAGTGATGAAACCGTCTCATCAAACCCCTTAGCCTCTCCCGAAGAAGACCAACTGCATCTTGTTAAGATTTCTTCAAAATAAAAGGCTCTAAACTCCAAACCTCGGACACGAGTCTGGAGAGCATAACCATATATTGTCCAAAACAGGTGGTGATGTTATTGGGTCGTTTTCAGCAAAGTAAAATCGTAAGCGACATTCATGTGGGAAAAAACCAACGTTCAAGTAAGCTTGATGGGACGATGAGATGACTCAACTAATGGAGGAGTTTAATTAGGTATAAAAACGAATTACCGGATGTTGTAAATGTTTTTTGTAAAAAAATTTAGTCATAATAATTTTTTTAAAAAATAGATTTGCAGTACATTCCCTCAGGTCGAATTAAAACCATGCATATGAGACTAAGACATTTTATATGGTTTCCTCCCATTAATTGTCCGGGGACATGAGAATATTTACCATTTGAAATATTGACACTTGGTTGTATATATGCATCTCGTTGAGTAGTTTGGATTCACAAGGTTTTGCTTAGTAGACAATCCTTTTGGCCTATAAAAAAACAGAGCATTTGGTTTTAAATTAGAGCTCTCTGCTTCACACCATGCTAATGCACTAGATAATTCATTCAAATTTTCATTTATAATTGAAAAGTTATGTTATCGCATGCATGGTAAAATTTTCGTATAAAGGTTTACATACTCTAAACCTAAAGTTATTTTTATAACATGTTGGTGTAACACATTGATCATATTTTTCAATCACACATTAATTATATATTTGTAACATTTCTGATTATATATGATTAATGTGTGTTTAAAAATATTTTTTTAGAAACTAATTATCAATTTACTAGCATATAATTAATAATTTATTCCATTTTAATAATTTTTGTGATTAAAGATGTTAAAAAAAATTATTGTTATAATACGTAAGCAACAAAAAAAACTCTCAGTTTTCTTTCTAATATATAGAAAGTATAATATTTAAGGACTTTTTTTTAGAAAAAATAATGTTTGGTAAATGAAATTCATCTATATTGGGTTTATTCTATCGACTTTTTTGTAAGAAATAATTTTTATAATTTTTAATACATTGAATAATATATATATATATGAACTTATTGGATTGTTACGAGCAGAACGAACGGGGCGTGCTTTAGAAGAAGCAATCTGCTGATTTAGATGAGTTTTTTTTTTTTGGGTCATCTGATAATATTGATAGAATTAGTAGGATATATTGTGAACAACAACTTAAGCCGGCGAAAAATAAAGATATTCCCGAAGTCTAGAAGCCCAAAAAAGAGAAACAAAGCCGGCGAACGATTAGAAATTTCTGGAAACATAACATGAAACCAAATAAAATAAAATAAAGCGGAAAACTTAAACCTTGAAAGAGGACGAACCCTAAAAGAAAAGACAAGAGAACTAGGCTTAACCCAAGGCAACTGATTTAGATGAGTAACAATAGGATATAATTAAGAGTGTTTAGTATTTAGTAGTAAGAATAGAGTAGCTGTGCCTATTTGGTTAAACTTTATTATGGAAGTAGGCCAGTGTGACTTGGTTAATGAACAAGGAGTTGTTGCGAAAAAACATCAGCAAAAACATAAAGTATAAATGAAAAGTGAACGACTTAAGGGGAGCTTGAATGGTGAATTGACTTAAGTGGCAATATTTATGCTGACGTGAGTCACTTTCTATCATATTATAGATTTGTTTTCGTATTTTAATGTTTTTCTGAGGACGTCATGTTACAAAGTAAGACACTTTTTTGTGTTTATATAACAACGCATGTGCTTAAATTTCAAAGGCACATCCGAACGAACGATGACACTCTTCTCTTCCACTCAGGTGTTCTTGAACTACAGGGGAGAGCAACTGCGTTACAGCTTCGTGAGCCACCTCGTTGATGCATTCGAAAGAAATGAGATCAACTTCTTCGTTGACAAACACGAACAGAGAGGCAAAGACCTCAAAAATCTCTTTGTAAGGATTCAAGAATCGAGGATCGCGCTGGCCATCTTCTCTACGAGGTTTGTACTATATATGTTTTGTCACATTCTCAAGAAGATTCAAGAATCGTAATCATTCTCTGCTTGACTCTGTTTCAGATACACAGAGTCGAGCTGGTGTATGGATGAGTTGGTAAAGATGAAGAAACTTGCTGATAAAAGAAAGCTCCATGTCATTCCAATATTTTACAAGGTGAAGGCAGAAGATGTTAGGAAACAAACGGGTGAGTTTGGTGACAACTTCTGGAAGCTCGCAAAAGTTTCAAGTGGAGATCAGATCAAGAAATGGAAGGAAGCCTTGGAGTGTATCTCCCACAAGATGGGTTTGTCGTTGGGAGACCAGAGGTACTTCGCACTCAAAACTTACTAAATCTTCTACTTCTTGTATGAACGAAGGTATATATATATATACTCTTTTTTGGCAGCTCTGAAGCCGATTTTGTCAAGGATGTTGTTAAGGCAGTTCAGAGTGTTGTAGCAGCAATTGGACTTGAGGACAAAGAGAATCAGTTTGGGAAAAAGAAGAGAAAGTATTGCAAATGTGAGCTTCCTGATTTGAAGAAAAGCAGAACCAAAAAGTTATGACATAAGCAAAAGTTGTGTGACTAATATTGTGAGCCTCTGTTTTGGATATGTGACTATAATTTGGTTTAGTGGTGTGACTGGTGTCATTGTGAAATCCTAGAAAAAAGTTAATATTGTCGAATATTTTTCTACTACTTTTGTTTGTCGACTTTGGTCATATTTATATACACAACTTTGGTAACTTTGGTACATATGATGCATCGACAATGACATCAACATCACCCGCACACTTATCCTTTTATAGCGTTTTTTTTTTTTTAAAAATCCTTTTATAGCGTTGCAGTTTTATTTTCACACTTCTTAATATAAATCGATATAATAGTAAATAACACTCTTTCTAAGCTATCTTTCATTAACAGCATTGCAGATTTCGACAATTTCATTTTTACACTTCGTAGTTTTGATAAATTTAGTACAATAGTAGAAACAAAAATATATTCACTAAATATACGAATTTAAAAACTACCTGGTTTTGAATAATACAGTTTAGCGTTTACTTACTGATTATTGGCTTTCGAGTAAATTTATGAACTTTTTCTTAACCATTTTACTTTTGTTTTACAGTTTAATTCACAACAAGTCGTTTTAATTTCAATAAACTATAGCAGTATATTGTTAACATTTCACATGTTCAATTTTTTTTTTTTTTTTTTTTTTTTTTTGTAGAAGTACGATTTTTTCGTCATGCATGGTATAAGTAGCACATCTTCCTTTTAGCTATCAAACTTCAATCTCGACACATCTCGTTAATACTTTATTTTCAGTTCAACACTTCCACCAATTCATCCCGGCGGTTTGTGAAATTGCATATGTGCCTCAAAATGATGACAATCTTGTCTCTTACTCTACAGTCTCTACACATAAAGTGTATGGATAAACTTTGTGTTATAACTTTGTGAACCCTCCTCATTGATGCATTTAAAAGGCAGAAAGGCATAATAAAATGATATTTGTAAGGAACATAGAGATATACGAGCAAAGACGAAAATACATCAAAATGATATTTGTAAAGATCATAGTGTCGAGGATCGCTGTGGTAATTAATTTGTGGCATGAAGGTTTAGCTATGTCATTTTAATTCTCTTTCGGAAAGCAGACCCTTCTTAACACAACGCTAATGTAGGATGAAAATTTACATAATAATAATTTTACTAATTTATATAAAAAATGTTAGAGTGGCATTTTTTGTGAAACTAAATGAGTAATACATATAGTCACTATTCACAAAGTACTAAATAATCCTAACCAAAAAAATCAAAGTATTAAATAAATTTGTTTCCTTTTTTTAATGCATATACACAACCAAAAGCTTGGAAGTCTAGAGGTGTTTCTAAATCACCACCGATCCACATTCAAAAAAAAAAAAAAAAACAAAAAAAAAACAAAAAAAAAAAAAAAAGTAATGGGCCGAAATCATGCAGACTGGTTCTGCCCAATTTGAAAAATGCGGACGGCCTCACTTTAGAAGATTATCAGTGTTGTTGCAGTTTGGGTAAAAACCCTTGTAATTTTCTGGAAACGTATAAATAAAAACAAAATGTATAATAAATCAATGGAAAATTCTTATAGAAAACGATTTTTTTTTCTAAAACTATTAGTATTAATCTTTTTTATCTTTCTAAAAATATATATTTAAATATAGTTTTCTCCCAAAAATACCATAAAGTCTTTGGAAATCAATAATTGTGTTTGTATTTAGACAATAAATCTTTTGATAGTATATTTAGAATATAAATCTAATAATAATATTTTTGAGAAAAAATTTGAAAATATGGTACTATTTCGAAGAGGTTTCTAAAATTTGTATCGTTCTTACCATGTGAAAATGACATTCTTTTTTTTTTTTTTTGGTAACAAAAATGACATTGTTCAGCTGTTGGATTGTATACAGCTGCTAATAGAAGCGGAAATGAAGTTTCTTTCAAATTAACGATACAAATTAATACAGCTGCTATATTATACAAGACTTACGGAAGATGAAATTAAAGTTGTATACAGCTGCTAATAGACGCACAAAAATGACATTGTTCAGCTGTTGTGCGTCTTTGAGTCTTGATACTATTCCGTAAGTCTTGGCCAATAGGATTTAAAATTTAATTATTTGACTTCAGTAAGATAACTTGGATGCGCTAAAATATAAAGAAAGAGAAAAGGAAGAAAAATAACTTCGAAATATAAATCGCACGTGTCGGGATCAAAATTGGATGAGTTAAATTATACATATATATCCTCCTGATCATCATTTAACGGTATATTAATAATAAATCCATCGGGTTCATGTGCCTGACATAGTTAAGCTCCTGGTTGCAATGTGGATGACACAATATAATATAGTATCGGCTACGTCTAGTAAAATCTCATGATGGCATGCATGACGTGTAAATCTAAGTATCGGGTCCCTCCTCCCTCTTGTATATAAAAACTATACGTTGAATAAAAAACTATACATTTGGTCCTTGACATAACCTACACCTCTCACACTGACGCAACAAAAAGTTGGAAGTCCTTTCACTATATATACTTCTCATTTTCCCTTTACTAGCACTGCAACACTTTCTCCAATTCATTCCCACGGTTAATAATTTTCCCACAGTCCCACTGCTAATAATTTTCATACATAACAGAGAACGATGACAGTTATCTCTTTAACTCAATCCCATAAAGTGTTCTTGAATTACCGGGGAGAGCAATTGCGCTATAGCTTCGTAAGCCACCTCATTGATGCCTTTGAAAGGACCAAGATCAACTTCTTCGTAGACAAATACGAGCAGAGAGGCAAAGACCTTAAAAATCTCTTTGTAAGGATCGAAGAATCGAGGATCGCGTTGGCCATCTTCTCTACTAGGTTTGTTGTATTCTTTCACTCTCTTGACTATGAAATATCAGTGTAACCAAGAAATTCAAGAATTGTAATCACACTCGTCTTAAGAATAGGTACGCGGAGTCGAGCTGGTGTATGGATGAGTTAGTGACGATGAAGAAACTTGCAGATGAAGAAAAACTCCAAGTCATTCCAATCTTCTACAATGTGAAGGCAAGAGAAGTTAAAAATCAGACAGGTGAGTTTGGTGACAACTTCTGGACTCTCGCGAAGTGTTCTAGTGGAGATCAGATCAAGAAATGGAAAGAAGCTCTCGAATGTGTCTCTGACAAAATGGGTTTGTCATTGAGAGCCGAAAGGTGCTTTCCACTAACACTCACTCTTGTTTATACTTTGCTCAATACCCTTAATTCGAAACCCTAAACGTATATATTGGGGAGAGGAATCTTATTTTCAAATTTTTAAAAGATATCAGGATTTCGAAGACTATTTTATGATATTTATTTATTCTTTTATTTTTTTGGCAGTTCAGAAGCAGATTTCATCAAAGAAATTATTAGGGAAGTTATGAAAGTTATAGCGTCAATTAGATGCAAGAAAGGTGAAGAAGATTGTGATGTCAATATTTTTGGGAATAAGATAAAGGTTTCAAATTGCAAATGCTCATATGCAACTTCCCGTCTTTAAAAGGAGCAAAATCAAAAAAGTTGTGAATTATTAGTTAACGTTCATTCTGGATAATGAATAAACCTCAAGCAACTCCTTCCATGGTATTAATTGATTAAGGAACGCACTTATGTCATTGCAATGAGTTCATAAATTTTGTTAATAACATGTTATCATATGTTGAAGCTCCTGTATTGAACGTAATACAATGGAGATTGTGTTTCAAGCCAAAGTCAAATCTGATGTATATCCTCTTTTTGTTTTGTCTTTTTATCGGAAAATAAATTATAAGGAAAACTAATAGAAGAAGAAATTTGATACTACGATACGTGTGCTCGATTGAAAACGAGCAGAAAAAAAAGTCATAGAAAATTGAAGACACTTATAACATTTTTGATCTTGAAAGATTGATGTTTTGATACAACAAAGTGGTCCGGATAAAAAAGGATATGAAGACACTGATACCACAGATGTGAATATCATACCAATCATTAGCATAAAATGCTACATTGATTAGCTTCCAACGTAACACATATGGCATGCAGGCAAGCCAAGTTAGATAACAAAATCTCAAATATTTCGACTGTACGCTCTTTCCATAATGGAAGTCTCGTTGATTCGTTGTTTTGGCGATTGAGTCTCAGATATGTAGGTGGCTTTAGATTTGATTTATTTTTTTGGATTTTTGAATGAGTGTTAAATTTATTCAACCAAAAAAAACATGTTTTACGTATATACATTCTTTAGCTAACTGTTTTAAAAGAATTCGAAAAAGTAGAAAAATAAACCTAAAGAATTTTCATTTACTTATTTCCTTTTTTATACAATTTACTGTTTTATATTTTATTACGTTTAATTGGATACTCATCCATAATAGAGACTAGAGAGTGTGTCGAGGTTTTTATCGGGTTAGGCAGAGGGAAGAGATCAAGAGAATGTTCTATATGGAGAGTTTATTATGAACTCTTGTACGATGATTATTAGATTTCTATTAGGCTAATATCATCACTAATGACACTTCTACCAAAAAAAAAATATCATCACTAATGATACATTCAACCAACCTAACATTCTGTACTGCTACTTTATAATGTACGTTTTCAACTATTTTTGTATTTGCTTACCGTTTTTTACTACCTGCTAAAATAGTCACCATTAACATATGGTGTTTTCGGAAAGAGAAAAAAACTTGTGATTTGATGGACCCTTTGGTATACAATTCTTAAAGTAGATAGTAAATCTTTGCCGGGCGCCAAACTAATCTACTTTAAACCTAGGATAGCCAATAAAATGATGGAAACAAAACTTTTGTCCGAGAAAGTAACACTGTCCAGCCATTCTCTTATCTGTCTTAACTAGGAATAAAAGATACGAGTTACAGTTGTGTGAAAACAGTTTTGAAATGTCCAGTAAAAAAACAAAAGTTAGCAACACACTTGAATATTTTTATGGTTTATAAATGCATGTTAGAGGGAAGGCACGTGGTCACGTATGATATTAGCTTCAAGAGATTGTCATGTCATGCATGTGATTTTCTATGATTCACTTGAAGTTACTATAAATTTTGGATCCTACGAAATATGTGCACTTATTATATACCATGATCTTCTCCTTTATTGGAACATATAATTGTGCAAAAAAAAAAAAACATAATTAACCCATAATTTGTTACTTTAATCATATAGTAAGTTAAATTTTGTTTCAAAATGTGGTACATTCCACACTTACTACTAATTTTATATCTCTTTCAAATAAAACCAATAAACTCAAGCATGCTTATTGCTTAACATTATTATTTTTGCTAATTGGTGAATAATGTTTCAAAATATATTACTATATGTTATTACGTACCTTTTCCAAATGTATTACTCGAGATCTATACTACTTAGTTTTGGATACGTTTTTTTTTCTGTTCCCTTCTTGTTTATAATTATCGTCTATTCTTCTCGACTCTGGTAAATTCCTTTGCGACATTGCTGATTAATTTCCTTACCATTTAGCTTGACATGTTTCAGTCTTTGGACGTGGCTTTTTTTAATCTTGAATACGAGATAATTAAAAATTATATAGTTTTGTTGTTTCTTTGTACGTACTGTAAGTTTCTACTTTGTAGTAGCTAATTACAAAGCATTCATTTATTGATATAATATACTATTATTTAAAGGGAATTTAATGAAAAAACCCTTCTTGGTGAGATCAATTTTTAAACCCTCAACTATTTTTTTAGTAAATAAAACTCTGAACTAAAAATATTAACAAATTTAACCCTCCACCTATAAAAACCTAAACACCCGTAATAATCTCTTCTACGCAATCAACGTTTGTTTAACTGAAACAAAAAAAGACTAAGCATTAGTTTTTAAATACAAAAATTAACAACAAACATTCTCTTAAGAACTTTCGTTTTCCATAAACGTTCACACGTCGAATAATAGATCACCAGAAAAACTCTCAAATCGTGAAATCCTAAAACCTCAAAATTCCAAATGTTGAACGGTTAGTGAAAAATAAACTAAAGTAGGTTTAATAGGCGATTGACACAGAGTTAATCGAGGGTGAGACGCATAATTAAATTTAATGATGGATGACATTAACTCATCGAGTCTCCATTATGGAGTGAGGTATTGAGAGAACATATGTTTATTACATCTGATTTGAATTTTGTAAAATATTGTGGTAAGTCAAATTTTTTTGTTTGTTGTTGTAAATATGTTTCAGAATAAGCACTTTGCATAAAATATGAGAAAATTTTATATTTTCCATCAGGAATTGCAGAATACTATAATCGAAAAATTGTGTTGTGATCGTAATATGTTTAAAAAGATGCCTAGTGGTTTTCGTTTTATTGTTCTGCTAGAGTATACAAAATTGTTAACGGTATAAATGTATGCTTTTATAGACGGAGGGTTAAATTTGTTAATGTTTTTTAGTTCAGGGTCTTATCTATTAACAAAATAGTTGAGGGTTTAAAAATGGATTCGGCCAATGTTGAGAGTTTTTTTCATTAAATTCCCTTATTTAAATTTAAAGTTTGGTTGCAACTCTTTAATGAAAATATATTTTTATATAATTTTACGAAACTTTTATATAAATATATAACAGAAATCTAAAAGTCTTCATATTGATCATGATAATGAGATAAACGTATATTACTTTCCGATTTCTTAGTTATGAAATACATGAAGGTGAAACATAAAGGGGAATAAATTAAAGCGAGAAGTTTGAAGAAGCTGTGGCAACTCTTCTCATGGACTTATTGATGAAACCATCTCATCAATCCCCTTAGCCTCTCCCGAAGAAGACCAACTGCATCTGGTTAAGATTTCTTCAAAATAAAAGATTCAAAACTCCAAACCTCGGACACGAGTCTGGAGAGCATAACCATTGTCCAAAACAGGTGATGAGGTAACTGGCGTCGTTTTCAGCAAAGTAAAAAATGTAAGCGACATTCATGTGGGAAAAAAAGAATGTTCAAGAAAGTGTTAGCGGATGGTGACTCAAGTGATGGAGTTTACGTATATAATCGAATTACCGGATGTCCTTTTCTATAAATGATTTTTCTAAAACAATTCATTTGTAATCAAATTCAAAAAAATTAGACCCTTACACGGTAATGTCGAAGATCATACATATGAGACCATGAGATTTTATATGATATCTCGTAAGTATCATTAGAACCAGAGACCTTTAGATTTTGCATAATAATTTTAATTTTGAGCTATTGACACTTGGTTATATATGCATATGGTTTTTGAGTGGTTTGGGTGCACAGGGTTTTGTTGAGTAGACAATCCTTTTGGCCTATAAAAAACAGAGCTTTTGGTTTAAAATTAGAGCTGATCTCTACTTCACACCATTCTAATGCACTAGATAATTCATTCAAAATTTCATTTAAAACTGAAAAATTATGTTATTGCATGGTAAAAAAAACTTTTATGAAGGTTTGCATATTCTAAGCCTAAATTTGTTTTTATAGAATGTTGGTTTAACTCATTGATCATATTTTTCAATCATACATTAATCATAGATTTGTGACATTTCTTGTTATATATATATATATATGTATTAATATGAAGAATTGTAACATAATGCTTTATCAAATTTCAAACAATTCCAACCATTCTATGAAACATTTTGAAAAATTTACCTTTGAGAATCTAGTGATAAAGAAGATGCAGTTGAGTTGAAGAGTTATACCAAACATCTGATTTAAAAGGAAAAAAGAAAAAAGAGAAAACAAAAATCTGAAAAGTACCTAGAAAACTGTAACAATTGATGAAGATATATAACGAAAATACCTCTGTTAACTTTGACTTAGACTTTTGCTTCCATCATCTTCAACACTTCATCTTCCTTTCTCCCCTATAACGGTACAAACCCATTATTTTCCTCAAACGTCTCGAACATTGAAATTATTAAGTGAAAAAGAGCTAAAGTACATAATTTTGATATAAATTTTTTAAAGGATTTATAAAGTTCTTTTTATCGGATGTACGTCTCACTGTATAAACATCCCAACTTTGAATTGGAGTTTTGAAACGGAGGAAGATGAGAGTCATTGTGGATCGACTGAGAGATTTTCTGATGTTTGTGAATAAAAGGAGTATAAAAAGATAGAGATCATGGCCGAAGATATAGGAGGAAGGATAATGGACTGTTTTGAAAGACTGTCGATATGATGATGGCTATCAATTGTGGCTCCAATGTCTCGGTGTTTAATTGTTAAGGTTTAAATTTTTCTCTAAGAGTTTAATTTTCAATCAAACGTTGCACTTGATGTAAAAACGTTAATTTTTTTCTTGAATATAATTTGACATTAAATTCAAAAAAGAAAAAAAGACTATCGATAAGTGTTAATTTTTAAAAATGTCTCAAAATATATTTGGCATCATTTTATTGGTAAGGTGACTTGTGATTAGTATAAGATAAATGATTTAATTATGTTTTCTTTTTAAATTAACCTTTATAATAACCTTATTTTTTTATTTTACATTGTTTTAAAGCAAGATTGTTAGTTGAAAAATCATTATCTATTGGGAGATGGAGAAATTCTTTTTTTTTTTAAAGGAAGAATTGTATTAGACTCTCATAAAAATAATGTTACATAATACATCGATATATATAGTGATAGGAGTAAACCTAATTTCCTAAACTGAGATAATGACTAATGTAAATAATACATTTTTACATAAAGGTAAATATCCTAAATAAGAGGATATAGATTCTTTCACATCTTCATAATTTACATATTCTTGAGCAATCATCTCGAACGTCGATCTCTCAACCGATCTCCGGTTCTCCATCTCCCAATATTATCGTTTATATTGGTAATACAGAATTTAGTTTTATTTTAACGTCATTTTAGAATTTTGATATTAAAATTTTCATGCTAAAATATGAAGCATCGATCAGTTTCGTTTTTTTGTTTGTCCGCGCATCAGTTACATTAAACGCTATGATATACAAATACAATAAAAGTAATGTTAAATTTTAATTATTGAGTCATCTCTATAATTATTTTTGAAATTAACTCTATAATTCTAACATCGCTTAGCAACAATTACAGTAAAAAAAACTTTACCATCATTATTTTTTTGTAGGGACATATCAATTGGGAACACCGGCACAAGGAACCCAAAAAATTACCAGAGCACCGAAAACATAAATGGGCAAGATACTGTCAACAACCAATAAATTTACTACCAGAACAGTGTTTCAACCTTCAACTACTTCCTTAACATCCGCTCCCACATTTTATTAAAAATGATTAATCTAGTAATTAGTGGTTGGCAGAGACATCTGAAGCTTGGGTTGTGTCTCTCTTGGAGTAAATTGTCAACAACCAACAAATTGTATCACTAATTATTGATTAAATAACAAAAGATTACAAAATTCCCAAACTCAAGGACATTAATCACTAGTTAAATAAATAACAGGTGATATTAAAATTCTTCCGAATTACCTATCCTTAAGAGTAAGAGACTTGTTTGTAATATTTCAAAAATGGATTATTTAAGAAAACTCGTATAACATCGTAAGCTCAAATGATTAAAATAAACACACACACACACACATTCCTTTTTAAATACTCTATCAAGAAAGAAAATGAAAAAAACTTTTGTTTGATAGTTTTCCGAAAAGGGAAGGGAAACCCCATCGCTTATTAGTCTTGAATTAAAATGATGGTTTGATATTAAAAAATGATGTGTTTATTGAAGAGCACACGTTTGCATAAAGTCACTTTTATTTAGGGTTTTTACTTTTACCAAAACAGATTTGGATATATCCAGTAATAGTTCATTAAGTAGCTGGTGGCAGATCCAAAAAAAACATTTTAGATTGAGGTCAAAACTATATTAATTTCTATCGATAAGTAAATAAACTAAACTATCAGTAATTAAAATATTGTATTTCATATGACTAAATTTAGCTAAAATGTAGTTGGAAATAAATATTATTTCGTTAGTATTATATGTGTGTGGACGTGCGGGGTATTCGATATTTCGTAGGGCTTGTCGCTTGCTGTCAGTGGCTCTTAACCCCGAAAATAAACAAATAAAAAAACCGCACAGAAATAAAGACAAAACCGCACATGCTTTCTCGAACATTGGTGTGCTATTTTTTTTTTTGCAAGGCTCTTGTTTTTTTTTGGGTGTGTGTGAAAGTACTTTTCTTCTTCTTAATGTTAATCTCTCTCTAGTTATCTTCTGATAAATGAGATGAGTATCACATATCATTATAACAATTCTTGGTTATGGTTTTATTAAATTGAGCATGTGAATGGTATAGACTGTCGAGGAACATTTTTTTGAAGAAAACTAGAATGGAAGCAACTCTCTCTCTCTCTCTCTCTCTCTCTCTCTCTCTCTCTCTCTCTCTCTCTCTCTCCAAAAACCCAAAGTACCATATAAGAGGTAGACGACCAGTCATAACATTTAGTCTTTCCAAAGATAGATATGGCAGCAACTTTTTCGTTCAGATCTGGACACCGCTTGTCCCGCTTCATGACGATAGATATGTCACGGACAGCGACCATATATTCCAGTGACCGATCTCCTCGTTTTGTCACTAACTGTTGTCGCTGGTTCAATAATGATCAAGCGAAAGCAAAGTTGTCGGCCATCATGAAAACGAACAGGGCCTCATTTCCTACTCCTTTTACAACTTTTCACTCCTTTCTAATTTCCAGTCCGATGAGCATCACTGTCTCTCGGGCGGAGAACCATCAAGTATTCTTCAATTACCGGGGAGAGCAACTGGGATACTACTTTGTCAGCCACCTCAGTGATGCCTTCGAGAGGCACCAGATCAAGTTCTTCATAGACAAAGACGAGCAGCGAGGCAAAGATCTCAAACATCTCTTTGTAAGGATTGAAGAGTCGACAGTTGCACTAGCCATCTTTTCAACGGGGTTTGTAAAGTTCTTTTATGCTCTTATTAGTTACTCAGTACTGTTGACTTCGAATGTGTATTCTAGCATATTAAATTAACAATATAGCAAAAACAAAACAAAAATCATGAATGATTATCTTTGTTCCTAATGATAGTTATCCGGAGTCGAGGTGGTGCATGGATGAGTTGGTGAAGATGAAGAAACTTGCGGATCAAAGAAAGCTCCTAGTCATTCCAATCTTTTACAAGGTGGCAGCAAGAGACGTTCGAGAACAGACGGGTAAGTTTGGTGACAACTTCTGGAATCTAGCGAAAGCTTCTAGTGGAGAGCAGATCAAGAAATGGAAAGAAGCCTTGGAATGTATATCCGACAAGATGGGTTTGTCATTGGGAGACAAGAGGTACACATTTCATTCAGAATCTCTTTTATTCTTTTTTTTTTTTTTCTTTTTTTGTTTAACAAAGGAATAAATTTTCTCCAAAATCTGAAGGAAATTGTTTAAATAAGGTAAAACTTTTCCTACCAGCTCTGAAGCTGATTTTGTCAAAGAAATTGTTAAGGAGGTTCAGAGAGTTATGGCAACAATTGAGTTTGAGGAAGAAGAGAATCATTTGGGGAACAAAAAGGCGAAATGATTGAGCTTTCTCGTAAGAGCCTAAGAAATGATTTACTCTCCAGTTGTGTATTTTCTCTTTGCTGTTGTTTCTTTTTTAATCAAAGAAAGAGTTGCAATTTCTTGTATGATGTCATTTCTTTTTCTAATTAGGAAAAAAAAAACCGACCTGTAAGCTAGTTTCCTATATGAAGTACTTATTAGTTTTTGTATCTCATAAAGAATTTGAGAATCGAGAACCTCTCACTTCTCAAATCTTTCTATCGATCGAATACACCATCAACATTCCACACAATATATATTTGACAATGAATCAAAACTTGTGGCCCTCGCAAAAATCGAGAGTGAAATGATTTGCAACAAAATTTCTGATGAAAGCCAACCTTAGCTCCAACCGCGATCAAGGAAATAAATATTTCTTTTTTGAGCCTATTTGTTTTGAGGTGTTTTAATTAGGCAGAATGCAAAATGGTCAACATTGTAAATAATGTAACTAGACGTTAACAAAAAAAAGTTATACCAATTGATGATATGGGGTGAAATCTTTTTAAAAAGTTTGAAAAATAATATGGTATAAAGTTTTACAAAGAAAATTCTTAAAACTAAGTTTTACAATGTACTTTTAAGCAACAATCTTCTCATTTCTTCTATAATATTGGCCTCTTCTTAAAACCCATTAACATTGGGCTTAAACACTTCTCAATCCCAACATCTAAAAAAGTTTTACAAAGTATATTCTTAATTTCCCACGATGACAAAAAATATATATATACAAACTGGTTTCCCACATATAAATCATATAGTTTAACATTGTAAAACTACAAGTTACTTATAAAAATCAAAACTTTCATCAATAGCTAAATCTACAACTGGAACTAATACAAAACATCTGCATGCAGTAAAATAAAATAAAAATCTCTCCCCCAAACCTAAGTCAAATATACGTGCGATGGAAAATTAATGTGGAAAGAAATACGTAAAAGAAAAACAAAAAATGTGGTTGTACTCATTCGATTTTTTTTCAGATTCTGTAGTTTTGCAAAAATCAGAAATGGAAGGTGAGTTTGGTGACAACTTCTGGACTCTCGCAAAGGCTTCTACCGGAGATCAGATCAAGAAATGGAATGAAGCATTGGAGTCTATCTCCGACAAGATGGGTTTGTCGCTCAAAGACAAGAGGTACGTACTTTAACTCGTATAGTCTATATTTTTTTTTTTTCTCTCGCTACTGATTAATAATAATTTTTTTTTTTGAGTTGTATACTCTAATTAGAACCAAGGAATCATATAAATATTCTTTCCCGTCAAAGACTGAATGATATTTCGTATATATATCAATCAAGTTGTACTTTGTTGGCAGCCCTGAAGCTGTATTCGTCAAGGAAATTGTGACGGCGGTTAAGAGAGTTATAACAGCAATTTCACTCGAGGATAGAAAACACAATCATGTTGAGGTGAAAAAGAGAAAGGCCAGGAACTGCAATTGCCTATGTGAGCTTCCCGATTTTAAGAGGACCAAAACTAGAAAGCTTTGACGTTTATTTTCTTTGGTTTGTCTTCATATGTGTTTTTTCCATATACGTATGTGTGCGTGTGTGCATGTGTTCCTTTTTTGAAATTAAGACACTTTTATATTACGTTTTTTTTTGTTTTTACATTGCTACTTAATTGACATGTTTCAGTCTTTGGATATGTTTAAAACAAAAAACAAATCTTGAGTTGGAGATCACTTAAAAATATAAATTAGTTCGTCTTGTTTCTTTGTATTGTATATAAGTTTCTACTTTGTAGTATTCATTTAAAGTTTGGTTGAAACTCTTTAATGAAATCACGTTCTTATGTAATTTTCCCCAAACTTTTATATAAATATATAACAGAAATCTTAGAGTCTTCACATTCATCATAATTGTCAAAAAACCAACGTTCAAGTGAGAGTTAGGGGACGGTGACTCAACTAATGGAGTTTAGGTATTAAAACGAATTACCGATGTTCTTTTTTCTGTAAATGACTTTTCTATAACAATTCATATATAATAAAAAATTTAAAATTTAGATTTGTACACAGTACCTTCCTCCAGGTCGAAAACCATACATATGAGATGAAGACATTTTATATGATTTCTTTGAACCGGAGACCTTTTAAGTTTTGGATGAGAATTTTTACCATTTGAACTATTGACACTTGGCTAGATGCATATCCTCTTTGAGTAGTTTGGATTTACAAGGTTTTCCTTAGTAGACAATCCTTTTGGCCTATAAAAAACAGAGCATTTGGTTATAAATTAGAGCTCTCTGCTTCACACCATGCTGATGCACTAGATAATTCATTCAAATTTTCATTTATACTTGAAAAGTTATGTTATAGCATGCATGGTAAAATTTTCTTATAAAGGTGTACATACTCTAAGCCTAAAGTTTTTTTTTTATAACATGTTGGTGTAACACATTGATCATATTTTTCCCATCACACATTAATTATATATTTGTAACATTTGTTATTATATATGATTAGTGTGTGATTAAAAATATTCTTAGAAACTAATTATCAATTTACTAGCATATAATCAAATTTCAAAGTTTTTTTTTTAAATTTATTCCATTCTAGTAATTTTTTGTGATTAAAAATGTGTCTAACAATTAAACTAGCTATAGACTGATTTAGATGAGTAATATTAGGAAATAATTAAGAGTGGTTAGTGTTTAGTAGTAAGAATAGATTAATTGTACCTATTTGGTTAAAGTTTACTATGGAAGTAGGCCAGTGTGACTTGGTTAATAAACAAGAGTTGTTGAGAAACAACATCAGCATAACCAAAAAGTATAAATTGAAAAGAGAATGACTTGGAAGTGGCAATATTTATGCTGACGTGAGTCACTTTCTATCATATAATAGATTTGTTTTCGTATTTTAATGTTTATCTAAGGACGTCTTGTTACAAAGTAATACACTTTTTAGTGTTTATATAACAACGCATGTGCTAAAATTTCAAAGGTACATCCGAACGATGACACTCTTCTCTTCCACTCAGGTGTTCTTGAACTACAGGGGAGAGCAACTGCGCTACAGCTTCGTGAGCCACCTGATTGATGCATTTGAAAGGAATGAGGTAAACTTCTTCGTAGACAAACATGAACAGAGAGGCAAAGACCTCAAAAATCTCTTTGTGAGGATTCAAGAGTTGAGGATCGCGCTGGCCATCTTCTCTACCAGGTTTGTAGTATATATGTTCTTTCACATTCTCAAGAAGATTCAAAAATCTTAATCATTCTCGTCTTGACTCTGTTTCAGATACACTGAGTCGAGCTGGTGTATGGATGAGTTGGTAAAGATAAAGAAACTTGCTGATAAAAGAAAGCTCCATGTCATTCCAATCTTTTACAAGGTGAAGGCAGAAGATGTTAGGAAACAAACCGGTGAGTTTGGTGACAACTTCTGGACGCTCGCAAAGGTTTCAAGTGGAGATCAAGATCAAGAAATGGAAGGAAGCCTTGGAGTCTATCTCCCAAAAGATGGGTTTGTCGCTGGATGATCAGAGGTACTTCACACTCAAAACTTATTAAATCTTCTACTTCTTGTATGAATGAAGGTATATATACTCTTTTTTGGCAGCTCTGAAGCCGGTTTTGTCAAGGATGTTGTTAAGACAGTTCAGAGTGTTGTAGCAGCAATTGGACTTGAGAACAAAGAGAATCAGTTTGGGAAAAGGAAGAGAAAGTATTGCAAATGTGAGCTTCCTGATTTGAAGAGAAGCAGAATCAAAAAAGTTGTGACGTAAGAAAATGTTATGTTACTAATATTTGTGAGCCTCTGTTTTGGATATGTGACTATAAATTGGTTTAGTGGTGTGACTGGTGTCATTGTAAAATCCTAGGAAAAGTTAATATTGTGGAATATTTTTCTACTAATACTTTTGTTTGTCGACTTTGGTCATCCTTATTTAATTATGTTTAACTACACAACTTTGGTCATATATGATGCTGCGTCCTGAACGACCTTTCCCCTGATGTCACCAACATTACCCGCACACTTATCCTTTTATACCGTTGCAGTTTTAAATCGATAGATTAGTAAATAACAACTTTTCTAAGTTACCCTTTAATTAACTGCATTGCAACTTTGACAATTTCATTTTTAGTTTCGTAATACAATAGTAGAATTATATAAATTAACTAATTATCAAATTTGAAAAAATAATTGGTTTTGAATTATAATACAGTTCAATTCTTACTGATTAATGGATTTAGTAACGTACATTGTTTACAATTCATATGTCCAAGAATTTTGATACATTGCCATCTATGCTAAAGATGGCATGATCATTGTCAATTTCGTCATGGTGTGATTGTCGATTTTTGTCACGAAACGAATATGTGTTATATAACATAATTTGATCTTGGATTTGAAAGAAAATATAGGTTTCGATTCAAAATCTCTTAGTTATTTTTGAAAAGCAAAACAAGGACTTACAAGCAGGTTTTCTTACATGCTTCACTGCAGATTCGTTCATTTTTCATCCGATCATAGTAAATTCATGCCACTCGTCGTCAGCACTATATAATTAGTCTTGATCATCTTCACCCGTTACATTAAATGCAAGTGAAGTTAGTTCCAATGTTTTTGACGGTCCATGCAACATACATGTTTCTGTAATACCCTCAACAGTCAACCCAACTAGTACTATATTCAGCCAGCCCGAAGATGCTATCTGACAATAATCAAAGACGAATCATCGGAGGTCCAAAACGAATTCAGATCTTAGCAAAAACATTTTTCTTAAGTTATAACCACGTGACGTTACTATTAAAACTAGTAAATAAATTCATTATTGGCTTATTGCCCTCATCTTTAGTAACTTTCTCCACAGTTGCTAGGCATTTAACAATTGTTCTAAAACCACTACTGATCATTTAGTAATTGCTCTAAAGCAACAAAGTACGTATTTGTTTGAAAGTAGAAAAGATCAAGCAAAAATTAATCTATACTATATAAAATTTGAGGCTATAAGTTTTTGAGAGCGTACACATAGGATTTTAGACGACCAATCGGGATTAGACATTTCATTATTTTTAACAAATTTTAAATAGCAATTATTTTCCATATCTAGAATTATGTAAAAAGGAAAATAAACCATGATATATGGAAAATAAAACAAATATTTTAAATATAGGAACTATTCTAAATATAATTTTTTATTAAAATATTTGATACAAAGATAATCAAATTTTTTTTTTCAAATTTAATTAAATTCATCAACGGAAATATTTTGAAATGTGTAGCATATGTTCGATTTTAAACAACCAATCGCAGTTAGAGATTTCATTATTTAACATTTTTTATAATTATAATAATTTTTTACATTAAGATAAAAAGGAAAAAACAGGATATACAGAATTCAAAGAAAAGTTTTAAAAATTTATATTGGTAAATAGTTTTTTGTATTCTAAGATTTTTTTATAAAGGAAAAATATAAGAAACGTGTAATAATAAAATTTTTAATGATGTACATTTCTAAAATCTATGAAGTTTAAATAATGTTTTATAAAAAATATCCATCATTATTAATTAGTCTCACTAAATTTGTTTGTATTCCAACTTTGATCAAAATATCCAGTTTACTGATTGATGTTGTTTCAAAATTTGTAATTTTAATATTAATAACTCACATAGAGGAGAAAATATGAAACTATAATTGAGATTAGAAATTTCATCATTTTTTGTAAATAAAATAATTTTCTATAATAAGATATTTGAAAAAATGAAAAAAAAACAAGATACATAGATTTCAGAGAAACGTTAACTATGCTCCAAAATTTATAAATACTTGGTTAAGAGTTTTAGATCTAGAATTATATCAGATATCAGAAAAATGTAAACTTCGCTCCAATATATATAAAGCGAATAAATGGGATAAACAAATCTTATCATTCACGATAATGACGTGGGTTAAGAATTTTAGATATGAAATTAAATAAATAACAAATATGGACTTTATTGTTGGCAAGAGGGTAAGGAATATGAGCCATATATTTGAGGAAATTAATTCATCATTTGAGAAAGAGAATTTTATGTGTAATCTTGTTCATGTATTTAGAGAGAGCAGAGATGGTTGGTTAACGGGATCTCCGGCTCTGGCAAAGATGATAAAATATTTAGGCGGTTGGATCCTAGAATGAAAATTGCAAGGAGAGTATTACCCACCGACTAGAAAAGGCCATTATTAAAAGTTACAGCCTAGCTAGGTTTTGGTTGTAGACTTAGATTTAGAATCCTTTATTGGCGGTCAGGTTTTGTCCGATGATTATAAAAGTGACGAAATGGATGCCAGAAATTAGGCTTTTAATAAAATTAGTAGTGATGAGAGAGGATATGAAAATACAAATCAAAAATATTCTATTATTTGTATATATTGTCAATCGGTATTTTTCATGTTCATAATTTTGTAATAGAATGGATTCACTAAAATCCAATATTCTAAAACGTAACCTAGGCGGTTGCTTAGACGCTAGGACCTCAGCCGAAGTCTAGACGACCACCTAAATTGTATAGATTATATTATTTTAATTTTTAACTGCATATATTTAAATTTTAAGTTTTACATCCATATATATATAATTATAAACGTTCATATATTTTTAGCAGAATGTAAATAACCGTTATCTAATATTATTTTAAGATATATTAATTTTGTTTTTCTAACAAATAATTTTACATCTTTTATCAATAATATCATATATAATACTTTATTTTGTAATTGCTAAAGCAAACCTTATAGAAAATGTTGAACGTAGATGAAATAAAAGTATGGTTGTAGTTAGATTTTGGAGAATAAAAGAAGTGCTAAAATATATGATTAATGCTCATACATTATATAACAATGATAGGTAGTAGTTGCAGAACTTACAAAAAAACATATATAGAAGTCATGGTTTTAAACAGTCATTAGATTTTTAGAATATTATCTTGATATAAGCTATACTAACAAAAATGAAGTGAGTAGGAAAAAAAATGGTAATGAAATTGTGCATAACAAAATGAGGAAGTCATAAAAGTTAAGTATTTCTGATATATGACGACAACGTAATTTATAAACATACAATTAGAACGTTAAAGGTGAAAAGACATGGAATATTTAATTTTTTTGGTCATTTGTTTGGTGCATTTATTACCAACATCAATCTATAGAAAATAATATTTCAACTAACCGTATATAATTTTTAATTTTTCTTTCGTATCCTAAACAAAATTGAAATAACGTAAATGATACACAAACTATAAATAAAAGAAATTTTGTATTAAAATATAACTAAAATGTTATATCACTTTTGCATATTATTTGTAAATATATAGCTATTTAAATGAGTATTTAATCTAAATATTTTTAATTACTATTAATACAAACATACTTATGCTAATCATATTGATTAGTAAATCTAAAACAATTTGAAAATAATCAATATGAATATTTAGTATCAATTTGAAAATAAACAATTTTTTTGGTCAATACAAACATACTTATGCTAATCATACAAACATACTTATGCTAATCATATTGGTTAATAACCTAGTAGTACTAAAGATAACCGAGTTGATTAGTCTTTAGTCCTTTGGTCTTACCGAGAAGACACAACAGACATTATAAGGAAAGTTTTTCTTAAAATTAGTATCAGGTTTTCTAAATTTACTCCTTCCGTCTCACAAAAATGAATTTAGAACAAATAACTGTTTTATCAAGATGAATGTTCTGTATAACCAATACAAAATTTGGCTAAGATTTTCTTATTAGGTTTGAAAAAAGTTAAACCTTTTTCTAAAAAATATTTCACTTTAAAATTTGACATATATGATCCCATCATTTTAACATTCGATAGATATAAGATAATATTCTTCACACGTATCCATCGTAAAATGCAAATAAATATATTCAATAATTGTAAATTTTGCTAGATTACTTCTAAATTTGCAATTATGGAATATATTTATTTTATAAAATGTGGCTTTATATTTTAATTTTGTTTGAGTTCGACGTTGGGCATTTGTGAATTTGTCAAAGAAAAAAAAAAAATGAAACAGCGAGTGCCTGTCTTATAGAAAGGTTTGCAAATGTGAGATCACAGTTACATGCCTGTCATATAGGTTTTGACTAATTGTATGAAAGGCAAACACAAAAGTGCCACGTGGAAAAACCTTTTGGTTTGGGATCATATTGTGCTTAACATATTATTTTTTATTTTTTAAAAAATAATAATAAGAGAACACACTTTATGGTGTTTAAATAACAGCGCATGTGCTTAATATCACAGGCACCTCCTCCTCCTCCGAACGATGACAATCTTTTCTGCCAATAGAGCGCATCAAGTGTTTTTGAACTACAGGGGAGAGCAACTGCGTTACAGCTTCGTGAGCCACCTGATTGATGCATTTGAAAGAAATGAGGTAAACTTCTTCGTAGACAAATACGAACAGAGAGGCAAAGACCTCAAAACTCTCTTTGTAAGGATTCAAGAGTCGAGGATCGCGCTGGCCATCTTCTCTACCAGGTTTGTACTATATATGTTCTTTCACATTCCCAAGAAAATTCAAGAATCTTAATCATTCTCGTCTTGACTCTGTTTCAGATACACTGAGTCGAGCTGGTGTATGGATGAGTTGGTAAAGATGAAGAAACTTGCTAATAAAAGAAAGCTCCATGTCATTCCAATCTTTTACAAAGTAAAGGAAGAAGATGTTAGAAAACAAACGGGTGAGTTTGGTGACAACTTCTGGACGCTTGCAAAGGTTTCAAGTGGAGATCAGATCAAGAAATGGAAGGAAGCATTGGAGTCTATCTCTGACAAGATGGGTTTGTCGTTGGGAGACCAGAGGTACTTCACACTCAAAATTACTAAATCGTATTCTTCTTGTATATATGAACGAAGGTATATATAAATAGTTTCTTTTTTGGCAGCTCTGAAGCCGATTTTGTCAAAGATGTTGTTAAGGCAGTTCAGAGTGTTGTAGCAGCATTTGAACTTGAGGACAAAGAGAAACATTTTGGGAAAAAGAAGAGAAAGGATTGCAAATGTGAGCTTCCTGGTTACAAGAGAAGCAGAACCAAAAAGTTATGACATAAGAAAATGTTAATGTGTATGAATATAGATACTCTCTTTTCTAGTTTTTCTTTTTATCGAAGGTAATTTAATTTTCTCTATATGTTGATTATTAATAATTTTCAAAAATTCTAATTAATCGACTAATTAAGGTCTTATATTACCATTCTCTGTTTCCTCTTTATCCACAAAGATATCATATATATATATATATATATATATATATATATATATTTTGACAACAAAATCATATGGCTATAAAGTGTGAAACGATTTGTTGCAAATAAAATTAAATGTAATATATTCACTGACGACATCATACTTGAGATCCAACGGTAAACAAATATGACTAATCTTGTGAGCCTCTGTTTTGGATATGTGACGATTTGGTTTAGTGGTGTCTTTGTAAAATCCTAGAAAAGAGTTAATATTTTGGAATATTTTTGTACTTTTGTTTGTCGACTTTGGTGTATGGTCATCCTTATTTGTTTTATGTTAACTACACAACTTTGGTACATATGATGAATTGGCGGAGCTAGAAAAACTATTTACCAAGGTCAAAAAAATTCAGACCAAAAATACAAAAATGCAAAAAAAGAAAAGAAGCTAAACCGTTTTTGTTTTTAAGTTAATAATAATAGACAAACAAATTAAATGGATTTAACAATAATATATTTATTTAAAATAATAATTATTGGACTTAATATTATGTATAAGCTCAAAACCCTATATGTTTTAAAGTTTTACAAGGGTTAATTAGCATTGGGCAAAAAATTCATATGAATTAATTATCTTATTTGGTAAGGGTCAAAATGATTTTTACACATACATTCAATTAATTTTAAAATTTTCACCTGGTCAACTGACCCTTGTGCCACTTGACTGCCTCCGCCCCTGATGATGATGCGCCCAAGGTCAAAGTGTTTTTTTTTTGTTTTTTTGAATGAATGTAAATTTATTCCACCAAAAAACCTTGTTTTTACTATTATATATGTAACTTTAAATTGATAAAGAGTTAAAATTTTGAACTATCCTCGGTATCAAAGTTCCAACTTAACTATGTAGCACGCTTATCCTTTTATAGCTTTTTTTATTTTTGGCTTCAGTATCCTTTTAAAGCTTTTTTTATTTTTGGCTTCAATATCCTTTTAAAACTTTTTATTTTTGGGTTCAATATTGGGTTCAATATTTTTTATTTTTTGTTTTTTATTTTTAAATATCCTTTTATAGCTTTTTCTATTTTTTGTTTATTGTTTTTTATTTTTAAATATCCTTTTATAGCTTTTATAGCTTTTTTTATTTTTTTATTTTTTTGTTTTTTATTTTTAAATATCCTTTTATAGCTTTTTTTATTTTTGGCTTCAATATCCTTTTAAAGCTTTTTTATTTTTTGGGTTCAATATTTTTTATTTTTTATTTTATTGGGTTCAATATTTTTTATTTTTTATTTTTTGTTTTTTAAATTCAATATTTTTTATTTTTTGGGTTCAATATTTTAAAGCTTTTATAGCGTTTCAGTTTTATTCTCACACTTCTTAATTTCTATATATATAAAGTTAACTTTTTCTCTCTTCTCCTTAAGCCAAATCATCATACACCTCATTTTATTATTTAATTTTTAAAATTAATTATATCATTTTATCATTTAATTTTAATATTTAAACCTATGTAAATAAGTTTTTCAAAAAGGAATATGAAAGGTCTTTTTTTATATTATATATTATAAGACTAAAAAAGATAATTGATTGAAAGTTAAAAAAACTTACTAATTATCGATTATACTAACAAATATATAAATAATAGATTATAATTTTTAGTGAATGTTTAAAATATATATATGATTATATTTACACAATGTAAACTTAAATATAATGTGATTTAACGGGAATAGAACAAAAAGTAAGAAATTTTGAGAATATAAATCTATCTAATTTATGTATCAAAAAAGTTTCTAACATAATGAGATAGGTCGGACCGAAACATGAATTATCATTTTTCATAAACATATAAAAAGGTAAAAATAAAAAGAATATTTCTTTAAAAGTTTCAATATGAATTTAACTATTTTTTCCAATACAACACATATGTTAAACTAATAAACAAAATAAATTAACTATATTTCATAAAATTGAAAATTAGAAAAAAAAAATATTAAATGAAATAAACTAAATATAAAGTAAATTATACTAATATGTTAAATTTAAAAATTGTTCCATATGAAAAACAAAAAAAATATATAAAACATAAAATCAGAAAAATATATATAGTAATATATAAATGATCATTAGGAGATATGAAGTACGACAAATCCAAAAAAGGAAAACGTAAAACAAAAAATAATAAATTATGACAATATATAAAGAGATAATGTAAATAATTAAAAATACAACAATCGGCCCGAAACCCACAAATCGTGTTCAAATTTCATGCCAACATACAAAAGAGCCCAAAATATTAACATATAGATCTATATTTGGTAAAAACCCTAATAGCACACGTTTCTTAATGATTCTCAACCGCACTTCCACTTTACGCTCACACTTCGACTTATACTATACACATTTAATTTCTCAACAACTAATGAAGCTAAAACACAATAGTTTTTCTATACGAACACAATTTAAGTTCTAAAAAGTAAAATATGGTATAGAGAAAAAAATAAGTAGGAAATAAAATACGAACCAATTACTCATAAACAACATAATAAACTCCCGCGCGTAGCGCGGACAACCGACTAGTATATCTATATAAGTAAAGAACAATCTTTCTATGTTATTCTTTAATAGCATTGCAACTTTGATAATTTCATTTTTACACTTCTTAATTAAAACAAAGTTAATACAATAGTAGAAATAAATAAAAAGAATTCACTAAATATCAATATCAGATTTGAAAAAAAAAATTAACTGATTTTGAATAATAATACAGTTTAATTCTCATTAATGGCTTTCGAATAATTTTTTTAAACCATTTTACTTTTGTTGTACAGTTTAATTCACAAGAAATCGTTTTAAATTTCAATAAACTAGTGAGTGTTGTTTAGAATTCACATGTCAAAGAATTTTTGATACACTGCCGTCTATGCCAAAAATGGTATGATTGTCGATTTCGTCATGAAATACTCTGTTGGTATTTGGTAATAAAAAAAACAAATATAGGAGAAAAAGTGTGGTTAGTGTCTCAAATCAGATATTTTGAACACTATTTTGCCTGTTTGATTTTTTGTGGTTCAGTTATTTAAATAAATAAATTATCTTAAAATATGAATATTGTTTAAATGAGAACCCTATTTTAGGAAATCTACCGATGTAAATGGTCTTACATGACAGAATTATGTCAACAAGAGCCTTACTATTTGTAGTAATTATGTCAGGAATCAATAAATGAATCACATTACATAACATAATATATTATGTTATGTCTATCATAATTTGCTAAAGATAATCAAAGCTTTTTCACTCCCGATCTCTTTGTTTCCCATTAATTCATTCATAAAACAGATTGTATAATATTTCCTCTCGTATTTAGGAAAAAGCGTTTTTCGGTTGAGTTTCATAATAATCTGGATTCAACAATATTTTATTTTTATTTTATCTTTCAACAATAAGAAGCTTATTATCCTTGAGACTTAGCAACCATATAATTTCTTTACTTATCAAATCTTTATTCTCCTTTTTTTTTCTTGTCAACTCAAATCTTTATTCTCCAAGAGAGCTAAAAGTAATTCTGTCATTCTTTTACAGAACATACAAATTGTTTTATTCATAATCCTTAAAGTCTTCATTTTACAGACTGTTTTTACGTTACTTAGCAACCATATAATTTCTTTACTTATCAAATCTTTATTCTCCTTTTTTTTCTTGTCAACTCAAATCTGCAAAAAAAAAAAAAAAAAACTTTCTGATTTTGTTTTTTTGTCGGCAATTTCCGTTTCTATAACGCAAGCCCAAATGGGCACATTACAAGATACATGATATAAAGCCTTTTTAAAGTCCAAATTTAAAAAAGAACTCAAATACCCAAAGATGACAAGTAAGAGACATGTTTGATGCAAAAACCTAGAGAGTTCTTGTGTGGCTGAGGCTAGAAAACCACCGGAACATCATCGGTTACTCACTGCCAAATTATTTGATTTGCCGTCGAGGTTATGCCAACAGCTGTATTGACTATTAGATGAAGGCTTCATGTCACGTCTTTGAAACATTTTTCTACAGATTTCACCCCGCAAATCAAACTGGATCCACTGCTTTCGCTTTTAATGATTGAAAATTTTCCAGATCTTTTTTAGCTTGTCTGTAATCTCAATTTTCCAGACCGTCCATGACTGACGGTCTCAGTTTCCCTATTTGGCTTTAGTAACTAAATTTTACACACAACAATTTGTTTTTACTCTCAAATTGCTCATTTTCTATATATCATCTTCCGTGGTTTTAGTAATTATTAATTAAGGCTCTTGTTGAAATGTTGAAATGAGATGGCTGAGCTTTTAGGCTTCACTTCCGGTATGCAATATCAACTAATCATGTTATCAATTATTTATATATTTTGCATTATCTATACTATTAATTGGGAAGGACAACTTAAAGCCAAACAGACCCAATTTTTTTAAAAAAAATTTCATGAAACATATTTCAGTTGCCAAACAAAACTAATGACAGCAAAAATGTTTTAATAAATAAATAAATAATAAAAAATAGAAACTACCTATATTTATGGATCATACTAATTTTGTTGCCAAAAAAGTGGAAAACTAAATTCGAAAATCTCCATGTATATAACATATTTAACATTTTGAGATATTTTTAAACAATAATTTAATATTTAATAAAATCTAATCAATAGTATTTTTTATTTGGTTTAATGATTTTATTCAAGTGTTTATGTTATTTGTATTTTGTATAACTCTTATGATATGATATATATTTATTTTGCGTTACAAAAATCATCATATATATTTTTTTGTTTTATATTGATGTTTTAGAAAAAATAAAAGAAAAATAAATATGTTATATATTTTACAATAGCATAAAATATGGAGAAATATTCAACAAAATTGATATTATCTTTAAAAAATTTAAAAATGACAAAGTCTTAAATAAATAATTAAAATGTTTAAATAAAAAAAAATCTTTAAGAAATGAATAATTATTTTTTTTCAAAAATCAATCGAATAAATATTTTGTATCACATACAATCTCTTATTTT